GTTGCCTGGAGATCCATAGGGGTGCGGGATATAATTGGGATCTTACAACAACTTATGGTCGTCAGGTGTGTCTTGGTTACCATTCTTTATTTTTTAGCAAATCGGGAATAAACTTTTGTATCATAGTTTGCGCCGGCTTGATCCAAAAAAAGTTCGTGCTTGCCCTGGTCATTGTTTAGATGTGTAAGTGGAAACGATAATTAGTTATGGTGCTAAAAGGAAAAACGTTTGATCCTGGAAATTGTTGTATGATAGTAGTATTGGTGATTTCTCCTGGTCTGACATTTAGCATCTGTAATTTTGAGGGTTTGGTTTTTTCAGGTGCACTTGTTTTTACAGTGTTTATGACATGACAGTCTTTTCTGCAATGTTCACATTTTACATTGTCGGAACTGAGATTTTTCCTTTGCTGGATGCAGGATGGTCTTAGTAATGTTCTTCTTGTTGCTGGACCTTCTGGTGTTGGAAAAACTGTATGTCACTGTTTTCCTTACTCTTTATTTAATTTAACACGAGTGATATGGGACAATGTAGTTCTTTTAACTATTCTGAATCAGGGGTGCCATGTTTGAAATTTGTCTTACTCCTTCGAGGTCTGTAAACCTTGCATGATCATTGGGTGCTTGTCATCTTCTAGGCAACTATCCATGCTATTGCTTCGAATCTTGGTGTCAAAATATGGGAGTGGACCACACCTACTCCAACAGTTTGGCCAGAGCATTTGCATAATTCTAATTCAGGTACATATTCATGTGTTGGAAAACGGAGCTGCTCCAAGCTATCAAGTGCTTGTTCAAAAAATTGGTTTCTTCATATTATCATTTCATATTTATTTTTTAATGTTGATCTAGGGTTAAAATACATGTCAAAACTAGATGAGTTTGAAGTTTTTGTTGAGAGGGTGAGAAAGTATGGATTGACTTCTCCAACGTTGAAGGGATCACAGGCTTCAGTCATACTCTTAGTTGATGATCTTCCTGTGGTAAATGTAAGAGCTGCATATGGAAGGCTTCAAAGGTGTTTGACCCTACTTGTGCAATTAGTCCGCATTCCAACAGCCATAGTGATCACCAACTATGACAAGGATGACTCTGCAGACTTCAGCACACGCTGCTGGGAAGAACTCCTTCTATCTCTTCATAGTGCTGGTGCTTGTAAGGTTGCATTCCTTGATAGACTTACTTTGGATTTTGAATTCTTTTAATCTGCTTATCTTGAATCAAATGTCAAACATCCCCTATGAGTATGAAAACATGATAAATCAGCTTCCTTGGCTAATTTTAAGCAATTTGACCTGCAACACACCAACACCACCCACAGCCTGCAGGCCAAAGGGCAAAATAGTTCTCTCTTTGAAATCAGCAAATTGAGTTAAAGGATCTTTTCCTGTCTTTGATGGTAAAACGCCAGGGAAGTTTATCATGTTTCAAAGGCTGGGGAGGAGGCAGTTATCCAACATTAGATTCTAAGTTACTAGAGTATGCCAACTTTTTTTACTTGAGTTCATTGTTTTCAGGTCAACTTCAACCCTGTCACTGTCAATTCAATCAAAAAAACACTTACAGCTATATGCAGAAAGGAGCAGTGTGAAGTTGGCGCTGATTCAATTGACCTAATAGCCAAAGCGAGTGGAGGTGATATCAGACAAGCAATTAATTCTCTGCAGTATCTCTGTCTTAAACCACATAGAAGGCCTATTCTATCGTCAAAAGAAAGACTGGATAATGCTAGTTGTTTGGATGATGTGTTTTGTTTGCCATTTGGAAAAGATGAAAATCTCTCTCTATTCCATGCATTAGGCAAATTTCTACACAACAAAAGAGAAAGTGAGCACACAATTGCATCAGGTACATCTGACTAAACTTCATTCTCAGGATACAGTGAGTTGCAAGTGCTTACAGAACTTAGTAACTGTGTGCTTCCGCACCTTTTCTCTAGCGACAAATTACTCCATCTTTGCAGGTAATGCTTCCTCATGGGGAATGCATATTTTAGCATGTGCTTGAGTGGTCTAATCATGCAATCCTGGTTTGTTATTTATGATTCACAATAGGCAATACTGTATCTTCGAAGAGTTTTTCAATTGCTTAATGTGGTTTCAGCGCTTGTAGACACTGCTCAAATAAAGTTGTTAAGCAGATTCCCTGAGATGTAATAATGAAACATTGTTTAAGAATGACTGATATGAGCATTGGTGATTATCCAATGAGTAGTCTCCCAAGTGATTGTAATTGGAAGAATAGAAGATTAACGTTTTCACCTTGTGTAAATTACTGCCATAGGTATGAACTTACATGTTATATGTGAGGTTTTTTCTATTACAAAGCTACAACTCTTCTTTGACCATGTTATCTTATGCCCTTTTGGAGTAAGATATGAGAGTTCTCTGCCATGTGAATTGAAAGTGAATAATTGAGAGAACTGTCTTTGGCAAAGCCTCTGATACAGACTCGTTTTTTTTGTAGATAGAGACACATTCCTTCTGAAGGAAAAATTTGTCAGGTTTCCTCTTAAAATGGATGCTCCAGAAATTATTCTTTGTCAAGCACATGGACAAGCAACGACTCTTTCTGATTTTCTGCATGAAAATGGTAATTTTTTTTCTTAAGGTGGATGGGCTTTCCAATAATCTGGTCTGCTCTTTGATTTTTTTGGAATGAATTTCAATGGTGGCAATGCTGGACTCAGGGTTACTTTTTTTTTTTTTTAATTCAAGCACCAAAATCTTTCTGTGACATAATGCTATTTCTGGATCATATTCGACCTGCTTTGTTTGTGGGCTATATCTAACAACATTAGATTCACCACAAGTCCCAATAGCTTGAACTTCTGCGTTAGTGGTGAATTTCACCGGCAAACTAAATGTTGACAGAGCTTGTGTTTTTTATCTTCTTTCCGGTTTCTTAGATTAGAGGAGAAATACTATTTCTATTGTTTAACTTGCATTTACTACCTAATGGATTGTGCATGAAATGGGGGGTAATTAAGACTTATAGCCATCATATCTGCACATAGAAATGTAGAATATGTTATTGTCTAACATATATAGAGTATGTTATTGTCTAATATATAAGTGGTTTGTGTTTGTCTAATTCAAATACTGATTTTCAACTTTGTTGCAGTTTTAGACTTTTTGAGTGAAGACGCAATAGATGATGCGTGGCTTGTGGCATCATATTTAAGTGATGCGGATTTTCTTCTGTCTTCACTTGGTGGACATCTATCTAGAGACTTTGGAGCTGAGAACATCATACAGTCAGCTGCTGCCTCAGTTGCTGCTAGAGGAGTATTATTTGGGAATGCTCATCCAGTGCCTTCCAGGTATAAAGACATTACGTGGTTCGTTATGTTTTGCTTATATAAAGTACCTAAAAATAATTTATTGCAAATTCCCGTGAGAAATCAGGTGGCATGCTATTCGACGTCCCAAACTGTGGGAGGTTGAACAATCATCACGTCGCAATAAGGTAAGATTCTTCCTTTTGCGTTCTCTGCTCCTTTCTCTTGATCTTGCTCACATAGCTTCTTATAACATGGATTTATCTGGATCAAGTCCTGAACATAATGTTTCTCACTAAAGTAGCTGCTTAGGAAGCACTAGTGCACTACAACATTATTTTTTGTAATGTTTGGTTGCTATTTTGTTTTCCTTGTAACTAATACATACTTACGCATGTGGGAATCTGTATAATATTTTATGTTGGATATAATGTAGAATAAGAATGCGGGTATTAGTAATACATGGATTAAGAACATTAAATGAACAAATTAATCCTCATAATAGTAAAACAGCCTCTTCTTTTTGTTTAAAAATGTAAACATGTATTTTAAGCAATACATTGTAAGTGTATCAAACTAAACATCCAACATGACAATAATCCCTACATTACTAAACTGCATTATTTGTCTTTAAACCAAACGACCTCATGTTGTCCACTGATTTTGGATTTTGATCACATCCTAACTAAGTTGATGTGCTTGCAGCGTCAAATGTTTAATCAGAGGGATGCCTTGCCTAATAGCCTAACCACATATAGTCAGATAGTTATGGCAACCGAGTTTAGGCCTTCCCTTAAATGGCTTGGATGCAGAGCGTCTGAAAGTTTCCAAGCAGACGACATGGTTGAAGAAGACTCGGATAGCACCTGTTTGCATGAGGATAAGCTGGATTCGTCAGACGATGAGATAGAAGATTGGTAGTTTGAAGCAGTGTATGAATGTGTATCAATATATGGTCCATGCGGGTTCTTTTTCACCTGTAAATTATGTACATGGCTGAAATTATGTAAATTTTTTAGAGGAAACATACAACTAGTTTATACTAATTGAAGTAATTTTTTTATCAGTGCAGGAATTTGTGACGAAAGACCTTTGTTTTATAGTTTAAGGAATATTCAACAAACTGTTGCTAGATTACTAACCTATGACTTTCAATAAAGTGAAGATGATCCACTAAGGAACTGGAAAACTATGTTACTACGTTAATAGGAGAAGAGATATGGACACAAGTACTGTTTTGTCACTATTACAGATGGCATTGAAGAATTGAATCTGAAATTTGTTTTGATAAATCTCACAAGTCATATTCCATGAACGGAAAAGAGTTGATCTCACCGATAGGATATTTGTTAGTTCTGTCTTCTAGTTATTTAATCAATATTGTACTTCAACCATTCTCCAGTGTAAATTTTCAAATAACCTCACGAACTGGGAAACAAGTAAAAATGATAAATCTCACAAATTTGTTTTGTTTCGTGTGATGTAGTTGCTACAAGTTCAGAATACTCTCACTCCACACTTTCTTGTAGTTAAACAAATGTAAGTTATTTATTTATTCCTTGTGAGAAGATAAATTTAACTTGTTTATAAATGAAACCAATCACTTCTTCAAACCACCTCACTACTTCACCTCACAAAAGTAGGGATAAAGTCAACATACATCCCAGGCCTCACACTGGTTTAGGACTTGAAAGTAACAAGAGAAACCAATGAGTACACGATTGAAAGCAACACAGAACAACATATAAATTCAACTTTTGCAAAACTATTTTTTCCCAACATTTGATCCAAAAGGACAAATGGAAAACACTAGTAACTGTTTCTAAGCAAAGCTAAAGCATACTTCAAAAATCCTAACATCCTCTAACGCCAAAAGCTAGCAATCTATATCATCTACCTCCATCAGCCAGCCATACTTACACTGTCGATGATTGCTTAAACTGTAATCATCTCTTTCGCTCACACTCAAGAAAATCTGCATTTCTAAGTTCCCCAATAAATTATAGCACATACTGGGAAACCAGTAGGGGGGAATTCAAGAACACATATATACATTTTTCCTGCTGGCTGCCTGGACCACAATGAAGCCCTCTGTATCTCAAGGCAAAATCCTCTTCATTTCATGCACCTGATCAGTATTTTTAGCTTGATTATATACCGACTCAAATGCATGTGTCCATACATTGGCAAAACCCGTCACAGCCTGAAAAACATGTGGCAAACCCATCTGTAGATTGTTCAATGTCATCGCCCTTGTTACACTCACAGCTTTGTCATACTTGGCCTTCTCGTCCTCAGCTTTTGCTCTGATAGCATCCACCTTAGCTCGTTTCTCGGTCACAGGGTTCTTGCTCCTTGTACTACTGCTAGAGGAATCGGGTAAAGAATACGGGCCATACTTGGACTCTAGTGACCGAAGCTCAGAAGATTTCTTGTCAAGCTCTTTAAATGCCATCTCTGATTTCTTCTTTTGCTTGATCTCTTCTGATTGCTGCACCACAATGGCATGGATAACAGTTAGTAAACTGTTGATTCCTTCCGATGCTACTTTGTCTGGAGCATTGTTGACTGCAAGATGCCACTCTTCACAAAGGGAGTAAACTGCATTGTCCTGGCTGGTCTTAGGTACGGGGTTGTTGCCAAGCTGGAATAGGCTAAGACGGAGCCAGCCGGTAAGGGACTGAATATAATCCCGGTGAGATTTCACTAGGTTGCAAAAAGATAGGTGCCACTGTTCCAGTTCAAGCTCAAGTTGTAATGTTGATTGTCGATGAAGCTCAGAGGTAGGATAAGTCGATGGCACAGTATTGAGATACTTCAACTGCTGCACTATATGCGTTTGAACGTGATGGCACTCATACATGCTTCTCCACATGTACATCAACCTGTAAACCACAAACAATAAGGAGACAAAAGATGGAAGGAAAAGTTCAAATGATTCTTGCAATATTATCCTTTTTGCTGAAACTCGAAAAATTGTTTCCCTTACTCACAAGGTGCTAGTTTGTACATTAATTACTGGTGAAAGTTAAAAGATTGTCCCATGAGATATAAAGGAGCAACATTAAATTTCATTAACTTCATCCTTAATTGCCAGTATTCATTTTGCAACTGAGTATAGTGGGCCTTTGTTTCTAGCTATCTACTGTCTTTAACTTCAATTTGACCCCACCAAAAGAAAAGTGGGTAACCTTAATTTCAGTCAACAATTGACCACATAGAATAATTTCAGTCTCACTCTTAAAGAGAAGTTGGCCTTTTCACAATTTTTAACAGACGAGCAGACTGTTGTATGCTGCTTTCGTATATTTTTAGGTAGCAAAAAGGGACATGAACCGAATCAGTAAAAGGAGTCAAAAGTTTCCCATTTTGTACGGAGAGCCATTCGTTGCTTTTTAGTACATATTGCTATAGCTGACTTTGACCCCTCAAAATTGTAAACATTCTGGACAGCAAAAACAATATAAAATTGATTTTTTTTTATTTTACTAAGAGATAAACATAAAGAGGGTGAATAGAACAAACCCTTTGACCAGATCAACAAGCTGTGGATAGAGCTCTGACTCCCTTAATTTGATGATTTCAGCTGATGTAGTTTCAATAGCTTGTGCAGCAACCATCATTTGTGATTCCAACTTTTCTACTTCTTTCTTGGCTTTCTCTGTTTTCACATAATCAGCCCTCTTCATCTCTAGTTTCCTAGCATGACCTCCCTTTTTCTCATGCTCCAACTTTAATGCCTCAGCATGCTATAAATCATAATCAAATAATTCATAACAAAAAATATAATTGAGTTAGGACAACAACATAATATATAAAAGTTTAATTTTACCTTGACCTCAAGATAGAGTTTTTTCTCCCAAGCATATAATCTCTCCACAGTGGAACAGTGGGAAGCTGCTTTGGCACCATTAGCCCCATTGATGGATTTGTTCATTGGGTCATCGCAAAATCTTCCAATTCCATTCCATCTTGAACTTCCACCAAATGACCATGAAAAAGGACTCATCAACTTATCTACAAAACCCCCAAAGAACCAATTTTTATATATTTTTGGGTTAGCATGTTGTACCTGGTGCAGTTATATGTGTACATACCTGAAGATCTTTGTTCGGAAAAAGCACAATTGGGAACTTCCAAAAGCAATGAGAGTTGTCCACCAGCATCAGCAGCATTAAGAAAGTACTCATCGAGCTCTTTGATGATTTCCACCAAGTCTTTGCTTTTAGTAGAGACCACAACCGCAAGTTCACTTGTTGAAGTGGTTTCTTTAGAAAACTGGCTAACCGCCGACGGCGGAGCCGCCACGCTCGCCGCTCCAACCGTGGTGGTGACGGCGGCCTCCGATGTTATCGTTGTCTCGTCCCATTCTTCCTCCGTGACTGACCTCGAGGATGACGGAGGCGGCACAAATGGGTCCCAGAAATCCCAATTTGATGTCGCCGGAGGAGGAGGAGGAGGCGGCGGCGGCG